AGATCTTACTTCAATTGTAGGTTCAATTGTAGTTGACAGATTTTATTTCCACTGTAAATTTATTATATATTACAGAGTTATGCAGAAATATAAATTAAATTATGCAGAAATATAAACAAACTTATGCGGAATTATAAATTATATAATGCGTAAATGAAAACTTTTTTAATATAAATATTTTCATACAATAATATATATTTTTAAATGTAAATATAAATATTTTCATATATTATTTACGTTTAAGTCATATTTTATTTATTTAGTTTCTTATTTTAGTTTCATAATTTCTTACTTATATTTTTTTATTTAAATTTATATTTCTGCATAAAAAAGTTTGTATTTCTGCATTTTTATATTTCCAACAACAATTCACCTTTTTACTTATGTTGGCTAGATGCTGAAAACAGGCCCGTAGGAACAAAAGTTAGATGTAGGGGGGGGGGGGGGAGGTGCAGTAAGCCACTACCAAAATATACTTTTTTCTCAGATCATATTGATTCACTTTGGGATTTGTTGTATATATTATTTTAAGGCTATCCTGAAATTTTCAGACTGATTGGATTAAGGGCAATTTTGGGAAATGTTTTTAAAGTTTCTAAGTATTTTCTTGTTTTCAATGAATTATTCGTTTTTATGGTATTCTCAATATTTATTATACTTTAGTACAAACTTTGATATAAATATTCTTTCCATTGAAATATTTGAATATTATAGAATGAATATTTACCACATAATCTCAAACACTGGTATAAGAACAGGGGGCGGAGGGGCGAGAGTTCCCCCCTCCACCACCACTTTTTTTAAACTTTATTTTTTTCTTTTGAAATTTTGGTTCTGTATTATCAATTATTACTGAAGTATTATCAAGAATTTCCAAACTACTAATGTTGTTGTATTTTTTGAGTATTTTTAGTGTCCATTTTTTATTTCAATATAAGTTAAATATTTCTTAGAAAAAGGTCCACTTTCTGCAGTAAAAGTTAAGTGATGTTCATCCTTTACTGTTCTATTAATAATAGGTTCTGCATAATGATCATATCCTAATATATGTGCTAATTTGTTTTTATCTTTTTTACTATCTACTCCAATGGAGTAGATAGTAAAAAAACTTCTTTTTATCGTGCTTGCCATTTCCTTACTTCTGATTCCATTCTCTACCTCTACAAATCTCTTATTCGTCCCTGTATGGAATACTGTTGTCATATTTAGGCTGGTTCTTCTAACGATTCACTTTCTCTTCTTGACAAGGTCCAAAAAGGCATTGTAAATGTTGTTGGACCTGGACTATCTGCTAAGCTTGAACCTCTTTCCCATCGTCGTAAAGTTGCATCTCTTTCTCTTTTCTACAAATACTATCATGGTCACTGCTCAAAGGAGTTATTATCTCTAGTTCCATCAACTAAAATTCATTCTCGTTTTACTCGTCATTCAGCTAAGTCTCATTCGTTTACTGTATCTGTCCATGTATGCTCTAAAAACTTTTATTCATCTAGTTTTTTTCCTCGCACTTCAATCCTTTGGAACTCTCTCCCATCTTCATGTTTTCCTGACTCATACAACCTTCAACTTTTCAAGTCTTCTGTCAACCGTTTCCTTGCTCTATAACTCTGTTCTTTTTTTTCCTAGTAACTCCCAACTTAATAGTGGTTGCTTGCAGCCTTGTTGGGAGTAAACGCAAATTTAAAAAAAATGGCTTTTAAATGAAAAATTTCTAAACTGTGTTTTTCACTAATCATGGTTGAAACACGCTTTTTAGTGTCAAATATCTTTTTTTCAGTGATAATTTGTGATCTGTCATTCTGAGTTATAATTTGATAGTCTATCAAGGTAGCAGTTGCTATGGCAGATGTTGCAGCGTCACTAACTTCGAACCTGATAGCAGCTTTGTAATGTTAGTTAAATCTGTGTAATTTTTTTTACATAGTGGTTTTGCAAAAAAATCTGATTTTTATAATCATCATTCTGATTTATATAATCATCATTTGTATTTATTTCCACATCATAAGTTTCACTGAAACAATCATTATCTGAATGAAGTGTCGTGTCACTTGTTAAATTAATTTTCTCCTTACTTCTTTTTCTTGTGATCTTGGCTGTCTCTTTCTTATCAATTTGGCCTATCTACCAGGTTCCAAAGGGCCCTTACTTAGTTTTCTGAATCTTTAAATACTCTCGTTCTAGAACTGGAACCTTGAGTTTAAAAAATCATTTTATACTTATAGAACTTTAAAAAATAAAAAGCATAAAAAGTAATAATACAAAAAATAATAATAATAAATGTAACCTGTTTGCTTTCTTCACAGAGACATACATAGTGATTGTTAGAGCAACCCTTGCATCGAATATTTCTAATGAGTAATATGTATAATAAAATATAATCCCATAATTTGAGAAGAAATAAAAAAAACTGTACAACTGTAAAGTTTGTTGGCAATTTCGTCACAAACTTGTTTGAACAAACATATTGTTTAAAATTGTGGCTTTTTAAAAAAACAACTTCAATCCTGTCATCACAATTTAAAAGAAGAAATTCACATCTGCACATTGATATATCAAATAACTTTGAAAGGTTATTTTCTAACCAACATACACTGTTTTTATGTTTTGAAGCTTTAGATCGTTCAGCTGTAATTACTTTTTGAAATGTTCTTTGTAACTTACGGTATTGGTGTAGTGGTGTAAATGCGGTAGTGGTGTAGTGGTAAAACACTCGCTTCATAAGCGAGAGGTTCCGAGTTCGATTCCCACCACGTCCCTGGTAGTACTGCGCTCAACTTGTTTCTCCGCGCAGCGGTCTTGTTCGTCAAGGTTCGTGTTTCGGAGTTATAGAGTTGAGAGAGGGTTATAACCACTATTAAGTAGCCTCCTCGTCTGTAGTGGCCTTCTCGGCCTTGAGGAGGTGAATTCCAAAAATCAAAAAAAAAAAAAACTTATTTCTTAGAGGTTTCTCCTTCATTAGTGGAAGATTTGGATTGGCTTTTTTCCGAATTTTTAAAATTTCTTCACTTACTTTTAAAACTATGGCAGCAGAATCAATTTTTTTAGTTGTAATTATTTCTTTTTCTACCTTATAGGCATATTGAATAATCTATTTATATGTTGGGAGGTCACTAACAGGTAGTTTGTTTGGTTGCCCAGCATATCTTTCACTTTCATGTCTAGTTATAATATTATGTATTCTTTTTCTTGTTGGTTTTCCAGATCCAGATTTTGCATTCATTTTTATTATTTAAATTCAGTCTGAAAAAGAAGCTGAATATATGGCTAATATAAATACTTAATCCGTATTAGATTTTACATAATATTTTATATCTTAAAACATTGCAAAAAATATCCTTTTCCCAACAAAACAAATGGAAACTCATTTAAAAATGGCGATTTTGTTGTTATTATACCAATTTATGTCGCGAAAATAGCATTTTAAGCAACATTCTGTTCTATTTCGCAATACTTAAATGAAACCATGAAAATGTAGTTTGTTTTGTTAATATAATAAAAAAATAAAAAAAATTATAATAAATAATTTTATTGAATATAAATAGAACATTTCCCAAAGTGAGCCAAGTGTTGACTTTAACTTGGTAGTGGCTTAAGGTGCGGTGCTGGATAAAGAAGCTGTGAAATAGTTTTTTTAAAATATATTTATTGTAAAAGTTATTTAGGGGGGGGGGGGGCAAATGCCCCTGCTGCCACACACACACGCTCGCATTGCTATGGGCCTGGAAAAAATTTTTAACAGTTGCAACTGGAATCTTCTCTTTGATAAACTTTAATTTGATAATAACCTACCTCTCCAAATAGTTAACACTGTATCTTCTTTATATCACAACAGTAGTGCAACTGTCTCTAGCGCAAAAACAAGCGCCATTATCATAAGATTGACCTTGACAGTCTAAAATATTTAGATCGCAATCTTTTGCCTGATTTAAAAATGCATCAAAAACCTTTTTTCCAGTGGTATCATTTACTGTGAGATATCCAAAAAAAATTTCGGAAATGTCAATACCTACTCCAGGAGTACATGTTAATGATCTAAATCCAATCTAAAATACTATTCTATTATTTTATATTGCCTGGCGTACAATTTAAAATAATAGAATAGTATGTGGCTTAAAGTCTAATCAACTCGTTCTGTGTGTCATTGCTCAAATAGTGCTCCTTGGTTTCTTTGTCCTGAATTCTTTGCATAAGCTCATTGAGAACGGTATCGTACTTAGCCAGTAATTCAAACACCCCAAGAAAGTTTCCATTGCTCTTTGAACCAATGGTTGTGTCTGAACCACGGAATGCAAGATTTCTTGCAGAAAGAAATAAGGTAATGTCCAGTATTCTTTCTAACACAGCTCTCCAAAATATCCGCTCTTTATGAAGCAACTTTTTTTGTTGCTCGTCTATGGTAGCTTGATTTGATATGCCTGCATTACCAAAATTGAGAAAGAAAAAATTAAATGAGAAAAAAAAAGTAACAAAGCAATAAGTTAAAAGAAATATCAGTTAACCTTTTCGTAAAGTCATCCATTGTTCAAAGTACTTAAAATGTACATTGCATGTTTCGTGTTGTTTAAGTTTTTTTGATAAGCCTTCCCTTTTTTCTGATAAGAAGCTATCCCAAAAAGTTTGCAACAAAAACAAAACACATTATTGCTATTCAAAGAATATATGAGCCATGTCCGTTCAAAGATTTCTCCATTCTTCATCTTGCGATTATAATAATTAAGTGAAAATCCTCTTCTTTCTAAATTGTATTGAAAATCAATTTCAATCTTTTTGAAACCACGTTTAACAATGTCACACCTCTGTGCGTCAGAAACAATATCTGGCCACTCAGAAGGATCATCACTGAGAAAAATAGGCGGAGTTGTTATGCCATTTGATGTAGACTAGCATATCAACCTATCTGATTCTACTCTAGTATTTAAATAATGACAATCAGAATAAAAATATTTGTAGTTTCTGTTGGTATCGAAACACTTCCAGGCTGAACTGCTGGTTTCAAAAAATGTGTTAATTTGAGGTACTTAGTGATTTCCTCTCTGGTTGCAGCTTTTTCTCTTCTCTTAGTGGCACCACTTTTTACTTTTTTCATACCAATAATTATATCGTGAAAAACTAACAAAAGATAATTATAAATTTTTGCAAACCTTCTTTCGTTTTTTATGATATAAAACACTAAAAACGCATAATACTAATAAAAAAATTAATTTAAAAATGCATAATAAAAGTCAATAATCAGTTAAGACATTATAATCATATGGACTTAATGTAATGTAATAAAATAATGTAAAGCGTTACAGTTTTTCGATTCTTTACATTTGTTTCTTTAAAAACAATGCCTATGATTTAATTTGAACATATAATATACATTTTATTTTATAGTATTCAAGAAAAAGTAATAACATTTAGCATAGTAATAAAATAAATTATTACCAAGATAAATTGTGAATTGCCGAACATAAAAAATGATTTATATTTTATAAATAAATAATCTTGAATTCTGTAATCTAAATACAAAAAGTAATATATTGGCATATAATCATAAATCAAGTGAATTAGAGAAATATATTTCTCCACACGGCTGCTGTTAAATGGTTTTTTTATTAACGGTTTGACAGATTTTTATAAAGCTTGCGTTTTATAATAAATTTCGGACCTCGGCAGTGTTAATCATTTAACAGTCCCGAGTTGTTTTTAAAATACGGTCGCTTTAGTCCAGCTTTATTTTTTTAAAGTGGTCTCTAAATATCCAGTGTTTTTAAAGTCATCGTATTTTTTTACTAAAAAGATAAAAAAAAGTTTTTTACTATTATTAAACACTACAAAATGTTATTATTCAAGTTTAAGAATATATAAATCATACTACATAAACACAAAATTTTTAAAATGTTTACTAATATTTACTTTTTGTATGATAGTTGAAAAAGCATGGAGCTGCTTTTCCAATTATCATACCACACCTTCATTGAGCATTAACCTTTTGTTATCATTTTAAGTAATCATTTAGGGATCGTCCATAAATTACGTAACGCGAGATTAAACTTATAGACGTATTAAAAGTTTTCCATCGCAGAGTTTTTATTTAAACCAAGTATATAAACAACCTTTCAAGCCCAGCGAAAACCGCCGCGCAAAAGAGCAAATTGATCTCCTACTTATATTTTTTAAATAAGTTTTGCGTTGCGTAATTTATGGACGATCCCTTATCAAATATTTATTTTCTTTATTGATTCATCAAATGTCCAATTTTCTTTTCGTGAGTAAATATTTACTTTTTGATATCTATTTTTGCACTGAAATAATTTCCTTATTTGTATTTAAAATTAAAGTGAACACGGTTAAAAGTGAATTATTGAAAAAAAAGCTCTGTAACTATATAGTAACAAATTTTGTGGCAAGTAGACGAATTATTACTGATGAACAAGAAGGAAATATAAGGAGATGCATAAAACCGTAATATTACGGCATGGACATTTGGGAACCACTTTTATTTTGCGTAATATTACGGCTTAGATTGTTAACGGGTTAAACTTTTTTTTTCTTTTTTTTTTTGCATGAAAAATATTATTGCTTTTATTACGCTTGCATAATTTAGGTAATATCTTGATTAAAAGGCCAAGTTTTTTTATTAATAGCAACACTAACAATATACATTTGAATATTTTTATTATAAAAAATACAAAATAAAAATAGGCTAGGCTCCCCCCCCCCCCATTGAGGTGTGGGGGGGAGTCTAGCCAAGGCTCCGGTTTTTTTTTTTTTGTTTTTGTTGAAATTATTTTGAAATTCTTTAGGAGATGAAAGAGCTAGAACAAATATTTGCAGCAAAGTGTGCTCTGTTGGATTCTCAAGATTTGCAAGTTATTGTTCCTGATCTTGCTAACAACGTTTCAGATGTTTTTACCGGTTAAAGTTGTTTTGTTTTGATAAATATCAATATTTTTTTTTGAGCTTTATCAAAAGCCTTCAACTTTCAATGTGCTTTTAAAATGCTTTTTATTATATTATTTTTTTATTTTTATTTTAACCACTTTTACGTTTAGCTTCCATTATTTACTCTTTTAACCTCGTATATTTATTTATTGTTTATATATATACATATAAATATAAATATTACGCACTGTACATGTACATGTTTTAATTATTTTTTTAATGTATAATATTTTAACTTTCATTTTTGTATAAAAGTGTGCGAGATTCTTTTATATTCATAAGTTTATTTTTAAAAAATTATTTTGTATATTTTGGTCGAAAATCGACAGTGTTTAGGGAAACGCTAAGCTTTTTAGGTTGGAAATAAAGGGGGGGGGGGGGGAGAGAAAAAGGGTAGAAATTATATTAGAAATTTAACTTTGTAAATTTTATTAGAGTTTTTATTTGAAAAAATCTTTTAAAAGAAAAAGAGTATGATTTGATAGCTTGATTAGATTTTTCTTGCAACTACGCCCTTGTTATTTTTTTAGCTGGCTTCGATTGTTTTTGCGATTACACTTTTATTGTTTTTTCGACCTTTGTTTTTTTTTTTGAATTTATTTAAGTGTAAAATCAAAAGACAAATTAAAATATTGCAAATTGCGGTTATCTAACAATATCTAACTGTCGAGCATTTCAGTTTCTCTATAATTGAATAATTGAAATCTAATTTTAAATAATCAAAAAAAACTTTAAATATAATAAATTATTTAAATAATTGTAATAATTTAAATAGTAAAATTATAATTTTATCCTGACTTCGAAAAAAGAATAGCAAAAATTGGTTCAATAAAAAAAACTCAATTTCGATAACTTTTATGATTTATATGGTTTCAATTTTTATTGACATGGCGTTCATAAATTTTATATAGGGAAAGTGGGGACATAATCACCCCTGTAACTTCTGATAATATTAATACGCTAATTTAATATTATTAGTCGAATTACGTCATTTTCTAGGCGCGGTTTTTTTTAATTTTATTTACTAACAACGCTTATTACGGGTTGCTTACTGCTAGTTTAGATTATTGTTATATGAAAATAAAAACAAAATGTGTTTTTAACAGTTTATTTCGATAACCACATTATTAAGCTTTAAATTGCTGCAATTAAGAAAAAAATTAAACGGTTTTTGAAAATGTTATAACACAAAAAATTCACTTAGTGAAAATAACGGTTTTGCCCCCACTGTGAGGCACAACCGCACCCTCCCAAAAAACCTTAGGGGTACGCTTTTCGCGGTATATTTTCTTTAAATTCTCACAGCTCAGATTATTTGCTAATTTTGTGTAGGCATTCTTTCAGGGCCGGCGCGAGTAGGTGTCACATGGGGGGGGGGGGGTGCCATTACATTTTGCCGACTTAAAAAAATAAAAAAGGCCCTCGTTTTCCAAATTTGCCGTCTGCCATGACGACATTTGCCGACTGTTTAGATTACCGACTAACCTATAACGAAAAGGTCAACATTTGCCGACTAACTAGTCTAAAAGGGTCCAATATGCCGACTAAAAATCATTGATGGGGGGGGGGGGTGACACACACCCCTATCGCGCTGGCCTCGCATTCTTTGTATATACAGTCTGAGTTTTCTCGTTATATATATATATATATATATATATATATATATATATATATATATATATATATATATATATGTATATATATATATATATATATATATATATATATATATATATGTATATATATATATATATTAAGTTTTTTAAGATATACATAAATATAACAAGATATAGATTTATACTCTGCGCTATATATTTTAATCAAAAACTCATTTATACAAATTGAATAAAAAAATACGAAATCTAATTTCTAATATCACAAACAAAACTATTTCTATTCAAGTTTTTACATGAACGCATTCAAGTGTGACGATTGTAATCATTGTCTTTCGTAATTACCTAACTTTTGATAAATATCAAAAGTATGCGGTTATGCCTCCTGTGCGTCTAAAGACCGTTTTCCACAAGGGGCTGTTCAAATAATACGTGACACTTTTTTTGGCGCTTATAGAGACCCCCTCCCCTATGTGACATTTTGTGGCATTTTTAAAAACTCCCCCACCCCACCCCTGTGTGACGTGACAAAGAAAAAAGTTTGGAAAGTGTCTATTTAATTGTAACAGTTCATATTTAAAAAAATACAATTGACATGTTTCTGTTTAAGAAACATGTCCTAAATTTGTTCCCAAATTGGACCTTGACCTTCAAGTATTGGAGTTCCATGCTCTTCAATAATTATTGAAGGCCAGTTGAGATCAGAGGTATCAACATCGTCCTGATTATGCCATTCAAATGTTTCTTTGTCTGAATTTAAAAAGACACACATGAGTTCAGATAGACGATGAGGTTTAACTTTTTGAATCTCATTCGATAATCCAATACTTGAGCAAACTGTTTTGTGCTGTTTCATTGATTTGATAGTGGCAAAATATAGACTACAATTGGTACAAATTCTTTTTGGTAAGGAACTTTGAATGCTCGGACATGAGTAGTTGTATGGCAATCCTTTGGGAAACTTTTTTGTAATTGTCTTGTGATTTGCTTAGTGATAAGTTTAAAAAGAGGCTTGCAAAGTTATTCTTTGTATTATTGCCATTATATATATATATTGCAAGGCCATTTTCTCCTTGGAACAAAGAAATTGGTGGAGGAAAAAAAACCAGTTGGAATAAGATGGAACAGTGAGCTGCGACGATGACCACAGCAGTTTTGATCATTACATTTTACAATTTGAAACAAGTATTGACTTTCTTTGACATGTTTAGCATCCCACTCTGCTCCAAACTGCTTTAATTGTACACGATTTTCACTGTTTGGTCCTTTGTACTCTGCAATAGTTTCAAATCCATCAATGACTGTGCTGAACCAATTTTGTGCAAGTTCTTCGCAAGCTTTGGCAAAGTTTGCCTTCTCCATAAGTTTGTCTGTTGTCTTGGCACAATGAATTGTTTTTTCATATCTTGGATTTTCGTCTGGCCCACCATCAACTAATCATGACTGGTTTGCTAACTCCATCTTCAGTAAATAAGCTGCTTTCAAATGCAGGAAGATGGTTGATTCTATTAATGTCTTCTAAGTGACTAAGTGCTGTTGATGAATCATGTTTTGCACTTTTGATTGCTATGTATGTTGAGCTAGAGTATGTGACTGCTTGTTTTTCCATGCAATCTTTTTTGATTTCTATGGCTGCAATTACCGAAGGAATAAGTTTGTGTTGAGGAGCAAATACAAAATCATGATCAGCTAAAGTCACCTTGTACTCCATATGCATCATGATTGGTGCTTGTTTGTTTACAGCTGTCAATCCAATTGGCACCCTAGCTTTATCATCCTGGGAAAGAAACGTCACTTCTTTTGGACCCAAGACTGCAGCAAGTTCTTCAAGGGCACTGATGGATGATTTGGCAAATTTTGTGTCTGCATGATATTTATGCTCAGAATTTTGTGCTCTTAGTGAAGACAGTGAAAAAAGCTTACAGGAAAACTCCAATTCGTTAATTTTTATTCTATAACAACGACAATAAATTTATTTTCCTAACAACCATTAATTAAAAACAAGCACATTGTGAGTTAATGTTAACAATAGCATTATTGATATTAAAATTCGTTAACAATCAAACTAACTTAATGAATAATAAAAATATAAATATAAAATAATAACGTAATAATAAAATAATTAAGTAATTACACCAATTATTTGCAATAGAGTGACACAAAATGTTAAAAGTAATACTAATAATAACATTGAAAATAGAATAATATCGATTATGTATTATATTTGAAGACCTAATTTTAAGCGAAAATAACACTTAACTTTTTAGTCTATTAATACAAATAGTGTTAAAAAAATAAAATATGATTTTTGATAGTAATATAAATCGTTTTTAGATACTTGCCCACTATCTAGTTCTATGTTCGTAGGATTAGAATTTCTTTTTATGCGTACAATTTCCACAAAAATAATTTTTTACGGAGTAAATATAAATTAATCAAATCCAATCATTTAACAAAAACAAAAATTTTTGTTAAATGACAGTTAAACAAAAAACTCTCGCTATTCGTGAAGTCGTTGCATATAATTTTTCTCGAAATCAGTATTATATATAAATACCTCCGAGTTTGCAATATAAACTAATTTAATTACGCAGTGATAAACAATTTAATTTAAAATGTTTTTTGTCACGTCACACTGAGGCAAACAACCCCCTCCCCCATGTGAAATTTGGTGACATTTTCTAATACTCCCCCCCCCCCCCCAAGACTGTCACGTATTATTTGAACAGCCCCCAAGACGAAATATTCGCGCAGAGCGAATTTTTTCGTTGTGACGAAACGCTGTTTTGATTTCCACTATTAGGGGGGGTCCAAAATTCTATATTTCTTGTTTAACCAGTTATTCTGAATTAATTTTTTGAGAAAAGTTCAAAAAACAATTCAGTTTTTGCTAATTTTTTATGGTTGATCTTCTACTTCCATTTTAAAAATTTAAAGATATAAAGAATTAAAGTCTTTCCAAAAGTTTCTTTGCGTATAAAATTACGCAACTTTTCTTTCAAATTTATGCTATTCAAATTTTGATTGGATAAATTTAATTAAATCGTTGCGTTTTAAAAAAAAAAAGTTTCATCTGAAGTCTTTTTCTAAAAAAACGCTTTAAATAAGTAAAACGACAGATTGCTTCAAAAATAAAGTTTTATCTGAAGTCTCTTTCTAAACTAAATATTTTAAGTAATCAAAAAGACAGATTGCTTCAAAATATCTTAATTTTATTTTTTTATTTATTTTTAATCGTTATTCAAGCTATCAAGAAGGCTATTCAAGATTTCTTTTTTTTTTTTTTACTTTTCTTTAATGAAGTCAAGAATAAATCTTCTTTTAAAGTGCAAGTCAGTAGAAGTTCAGTTAAATTCTAAAGGTTTAACAACAACAACAAAAACAATATATTTACCAAGAATATAGATGTTTTACAATAAGCATGTTATAAAATACGAATAAAAAAAATATATATGTAGTGTTGTTTTTTTTTTTTTTTTTTTACAACACAAGTATCCGTAGTCTATATTCTGGATGGTTCACTCTCATATAGCCTGGCTAAATCGAGGAGAGCGACCATAACAACTCTAAAAATAAACAGGCTAAAGGAATACCGCTACCTAAAAGGCTTTATAAAAAACAAACTGGGTGATCAAATTCATAAATTTTCTGCTTTACTCTAAAACGCAGTGAATAGCTAGTTAAAAAAAATTCTAGAAGCAGTTAATAAATATACCTCAAAGAGTTTGAATAATTGTATCATTCTTGCTAGAGTATTTTGGCAAAAGTTAGCCTCAGGACTTCAAAAAAGAGAAAAGTATTATGTGTTTGGTTGATGATGGAATATGATTAGTATTAACTTTCTAATTAAGTTGTTGTAGTTGGAAAGCCTTGGAAAAAACCCATTTAATTTCAACAGTAGATGTATACTTAATTATTTAATTATTTAAATCATATAAAAAAATGAAGGTTCACGTAGTT